TCTTCGTTCTTCGGAGTTATGATTTTGAGTAAATAATATTTGAACAGATCAAAATCATACATACAGAGAAAAACTATTTTAAAAGATTATTTATTGTGGCCTCTTATATTTTTAGTCATGAAAGAAAGTCTATGAATTCCAGATCAGATCTTGAGAAGAACTTAGTAGCAAACAACTATTACAATATTTAAAATTTTTGTAATTGTGTAGCAAAGTTGTTGAAGCTTTCTAGGAGATAATTTTCCGAGGGTACGATGTTTATTTTTAACTTAGATTTATACAACAGTTACCAAATGCAAAAATATCTTTCTGTAAAAGTGTAAAATATCAAATCGTCGATGGTAAATACATGGGTTTGTTTGCTAGGTAATGCCATAAACCTACTTTCTAGGAATTGTGACCGTACCATCGTGAAATGACCTGTATTGTAAAGATACGACAGTGAGGAAAGATATAGGACAATTTAACAGTTTCCAAGTTACACTATAGTACAAATCTATAAATGTAACTAGTTACAAAAATACGTAGTTATGAAGCAGGTTACGTTTTCTTAAGAAACTAGTTACGTTACGTTACGCCGAAAACATGTTACTACCCATCACTAAAAAGGACCCATTTTTATGGTTTGTTTCACCTGTCCGTTTAAGCAATGTGACGCCAAAGATAAGAATTGAAAAATATTTATAAATTATTGCGTTTCCAGAAAATAGCGAAATCTTATAACAATAAAAGAGAGCAATCAACTGTTGATTCAGCTTTGACTATAACATCTCTAAAAAGTGAGGGATACATTTCAGAATCGTTCAATATATGGGGTCCTTTTTTGCTAGTCCCCTGGAACCTCAACCTTCATGTTTCCGCCGCATCCTATTTTTTGGGACAACCTGATAAATCCATTTTCCATATATTCAGCAAGTCCAACTGCAGCTGGCAGGACGAATGCTTTTTGAATATTACGGGAATGATCGTTGTATAGTGAGACAGAATCATGAAGGTTTGAAGATGTTTGTTATATCTTCTGGAAGAGTTGTTATTTCACAACAAGCCATTGATCCCGCGACTGGTGACATGGTTTCTTTCGAAATTGGAATTATGGAAAAAGGTGAAATGTTTGGGGAATATTCTCTCCTGCACGGGAACAAAAGATTAGCAACAATCACAACTATAGGTAACTATTTGGTTTTGGAATAAGATACCTATTTATTTATAAAAGGAGTCGGACTTTCAAGGATTGTGTTATTTGAATAATGTTTGATATTGGGGATTGATAGTAGTGGTTATCACCCGACGGGTTTAAGCGCTCGCTACGTTACTTAAAGTTACCAACCACAGTTGTTGGCGACATGTTGGATAAACGATTGTATCGGTGTTCTTACAGAGGGAGAACTAATTCTAGACTACGGTCATGAAGCCTAAATACAGTAGAATCCGCTTATAATGACATCAAAGAGAAAAAGGCAAACACGTCATACTAAGCGGACGTCATACAAGCATAGTCTTAGAAAATAAACAACTTTCTATTTTGGTTAGTTATTTATTTTAATAGAGAGGAAAACTACAAATTGTATATATTTATTAACAGTAAAAGAAAAAGAACGATGAGTTGTAATATCAATATACATAAGAAAGGTCAGAAAAATGAGCGAAAATGTTATTATTAATCATTTGGGTCACTATAGCCGGATATGATTTCTTGAAAATCAGTCATAATAAACGATATGTCATTTTAAACGGAGTCATTATATCCAAACTTTCCTATAGAGAATTTAATATGAAAACCAAACTTAACACTGTAATTACTTCATATTAAGCGGTTGGTCAATATAGGCGGAGTCATAATAAACGAATTCCACTGTA